GAAATTTATTTTTCAAGGCTAAATATTAATGATTTTATTAGAATGATAAAATGTCATAAAAACAGAGCTACTAACATCCTACCAGCTGCTGTTTCTTCCCTCCTGCAGACTATTTAACACTCATCAGGCAATAGCTATCAGGATGTGTTATGTAGGTTTGCAGTCTGTCATGCACTAGAGCCTCTCTAGGTCTGCCTGTGGGATCAGCAATGAGACTCAGAGTGCAAGAACAGCTGCTCCTCTCAGGAGCCTGTGCCTCCAGCTCAGCCCTGTCCTCTGGCAGAGAGGTGGGAGTATCCTGGCGATACTGAACACTAGACTAGCACTGTTTGATTGATTAGCTGACTGCTTTGTATCAGCACTCTGTGCACCTGATGTAATACATCCCTAACCTTTCATGATTTCTGATAATTAATTCAAGGAAGTAAACATATTATCAGCTTAACAACTGTTATGAAAGTATACGTAGCAGGCATCATCAGCTCAGTGAACTAAAATTTTTGAGGGCTTATACAACTACACAAATTCTAACAGAAAGAAGAAAGAACATTTAACAATTCAATCTAGATTTAAATTCTGCTTATTAGTTCACTCTTAAAACTAAAGAAAAGAAGTAGTATTTTCAGCTAAGGACCTTAGTTTTATTATGTGAATGGGAAGGTGGTATAGTTCTCTAATTTAGTTGAGGGATTTTTAAATGGCCAAAACATTTCCAGCAACTCTACAAAAAAGAATATTTTTCCCACTTTTCTTCTTTTAAAATATTTTAATGTTTCTTGAGGCTCGATTACAAATAATAAGCCCAAAGACAAAAAAAACTGATGCATTAATGACCCTATGTGGGTTATAAACCAGAGTCTCTGCTGGGCTTAGATCTTCTCTGTCCAGTAAGCCCAAGAAAGCATGTACTTGAGAAGAATTGGGATTAATTCTGTTTTAAATGTCTGGTAGAATTCCCCAGGGAAGCCATCAGCTCCAGGGCTCTTATTTGTTGGGAGATTTTTGATAACTGATTCGATTTCTTCACTCGTTATGGGTCTGTTCAGGTTTTCGATTTCTTCCCGTGTGAATTTTGGTAGTGAGTGTGTGTTTAGGAATTTGTTCATTTCTTCTAAGTTGTCCAATTTGTTGGCATATAATTTTTCATAGTATTCCCTGATAATTGCTTGTATTTCTGAGGGGTTGGTTGTAATAAGTCCATTTTCATTCATAATTTTGTCTATTTGGGTGCTCACTCTTTTCTTTTTGGTAATTCTGGCTAGAGGTTTGTCAATTTTGTTTAGCTTTTCAAAAAACCAACTCTTGGTTTCATGGATCTGTTCAATGGTTTCTTTGGTCTCTATGTTGTTTATTTCTGCTCTAATTTTTACTATTTCTCTTCTTCTACTGGGTTTAGGGCGTTCTTGTTGCTCTGCCTCTAGTTCTTTTAGGTGAGCTGTTAGATTCTGGACTTGCGCTTTTTCTAATCTCTTGAAATAGGCCTGGAGAGCAATGTACTTTCCTCTTAGGGCTGCCTTTGCCACATCCCATAGATTTTGAATTGTTCTCAAGCTATTCCAAAAAATAGAAATCGAAGGAAAACTCCCAGACTCATTTTATGAAGCCAGCATCACTCTGATTCCCAAGCCAGACAGAGATCCA